ACCTGTATCAAATTTTGTGTGAAAAACGAAATTAAGTGCGCGGATTCATTCCGAGTGTTGACTGTGGCAGACGGAGAAGCTACCTTGGACCGAAGCAACGTTTATCGGTGGTACAAAATGTTCTCAAATGGCCGAGAAGATGTGAGAAAAATTTACTTGTGCGCCACGATAACGCCCCTGCTCACACATCGTTGCTTGTGCGCGACTTTTTGGCCAAAAACAACACACTAATGATGCCGCAGAAACCGTATTCCCCAGATCTGGCCCCCTGTGATTTTTTTCCCCCTAAACTGAAGAGGCCCATGAAAGGACGACGTTACGCTTCTCTTGACGAGATAAAGATGGCATCGAAGGAGGAGCTGAATTAGATAACAAAAAAAAAGTGATTTTTTGAAGTGCTTCGAAGATTTCAAAAACCGTTGGCACAAGTGTATAATATTACTTTGAAGGGGACAAAATAGATATTCATGAATAAATAAATAATTTTTGAAAAACACAAAAATACGCGATACTTTTTGAACACAACTCGTATATTTTTTCAGAGTAGTAAAACTATTAATAAACCATTTGGCCCTTGGGAGACAAACCTCCCAATTTCCCCGCCTCTGAATCCACCACTGTGTATATGTATAAATTCACAAGTGGATTTAAGATTTTAAAACATCTTCGCAATCAACTTGAAGATGACCTTCATAACCATAAAATATTACTCGCGGAAATCCGTCCCCCAATTTGTAGCTGGGTTAGATTAATTAAGATACTAGGGGCTCACACTAATATATTAAAGTAACTAAGTCAAACAACAGCAATAACAACAGAATATAAATAAACAAAATTTAGCTTAAATTTTAAGTTTTATTTCATATTTTTACTACAAATTCTACTTATATTTAATTTTACATATTTTAGTAATAATATTTCGTATATGTACGCATATAATTTATATCAAGGTGCTTTTTATTTTCTTAAGATATCATTTATTTTATGCTATATGTATGATTTCTGTCAAATTTTATAAAATTACGACATTAATTAACAGCGGTCTTACTTCAACTACTTAGCGCATAGCTATTAATTATATTAATTATTAACGTGTATTATTATTATAAATACATAAGTATATAATTTTAAATTTATATGCATGTACATATGCATTATTTTTGTAATTCTAACATTAAGACGAATCTTTAAAAACTAGAAAAATATATATTTATGGCAATAAGCTTTTGCAAAATAATCTCATCAAAGAATTCATAGATACGAAGTTCCATTTTTCTTGCGCATTATAGCAGTTAAGTACAGTACTTTTTGGCGGCAAGCGAATGGACAACAACAAAAAGTAGCTTAATAACGGCTTACAATAAGCTAACTGTCAAAACATTATATGCTTAATTGTTTATTTCTTTGTAATTGCTTTATTGTTGTTATTTTACACGCGCGACTACTATGTATATATAGTACATAAATATGTTACTGTATTTATGTTTGTGTTTCAGTGCGTCAGTGCTTCTAATAATACTGCAAAGGYCATCAATCAAAGGAAAGCGACTGCAAAGCAGCAA